CACCTGGGGGCCTAGGGGCCCCCAGTTGGGGAACACGAGGCACCAACATACAGAACATGTGACAACCACCTGGAAGACAGTCTGAAAGCTCTGTTCTCCAGCTTCAGGCTTCACTTAGAGTTTTAAACACCAGCATGGCTTCCATCATGCATTATCCCAGTCAAGCCTCCAAACAATCCCAGAGGTAAGAATTATATGTCTCAATTTTATAGATAAGGAAAATAGGGTTCACAGAGGTTAAGAACACACAGCTGGGAAGAAGCTAGAAAGAGCTGGAACTAAATAGCTGGCCTAATGCGAATTCCGGCTCTTCCCACCAGGGCACACTGGCTCAGCGAAGAAAGAAAAGCCTGGGTTGCTTTTACCTGGGGGCTGCACGGCAGCTATGATTATTGTTGTTTTTTACGGCTCTCGCTTTAACTCATCTTTAGTGCTCTCTTTGCAGCTTGTGGCATGTTCACCCTCATTACCCTGTGCGTCCTCAGTGACCATGTAACAGACAGGGAAGGGCAAAGCCTGCTGCCTACACAGGGCATGAAAGAGAACCCCAGAAAGGCCCATGGCTGGCAAGTGGCAGAACTGAGACCGGAAACCAAGTCCTATTATGTCTCATCCCACTTTGCTTTTAATCACAGGATTCCCTGATGGCAGGGAATGGATCCAACCCATCACTCCCTCCATGCCCTTGGCCCAGGCTGGGCACCCTATGAATGTTAGCTGAGCTGAGTTGGCCTGGTGTCAAATCAGTGAAAGTCTGGTGCTGAGTGGTCTGATGCCCCAGAGGGAGTCCTCCAAGGATACGGCCAGAGGCACCTTCCCCATCAGGCTGAGTCCTCAGGCAGCCCTAGGCTAAGGCTAGAAATGGCCCCCTTCCTCCAAGAGCTACAGTCTCAATGTCTCGGCCACCCCTCCTTGAGAGCTCAGCACAGGCTGGTTTCAGGGAGACCCATTACTGGTCAGATTTCCAGCCCATTCCCCACAGGGGCCAACCCTTCATTGCCTCCAGCTCCCTTCCTGTTAGCCCATCTGCTCTTTCCAAGGGGGGGAAAGATGGGCCCGTTCTTCCCAGAGGCAAGCCTGGGTGTTTCCCTGCCCTGGGTCCCATCCTCTCCTCCCTTCTCAGAAGCTGTCCTTACCTTGGCCTCAGAGAACTCAGGCGCACCCTCCCCAGACCAAGGGCCTCATATATCCCCTCTCCAGATCAATTAAATTACTAGAGCTAAGGCATGACACCCCTAGATTTCTTAAAAGCTCTCCAAGCGATTCTAATGTGCAGTCAGAGTCATGAGAACAATCTGCCTTTGGAAAAGAGAAACACATCGTAACACATCACAGTACCATAGAACACAATAGAAATGAATAACATAGGCCAAATTATAATAGAGCATATCAGAGCACTTTGCACATTATAGGAATTAACCATTGTTTCTTAAAAGTTTTCTTTCAATTGTGTGTGCGTGTATATGGGTATGAGTAGGTGTGTCATCCTGGGTCATGACTGCAGACCATGGTTAATTAGTGGAAAACATCGCCCCAGCTCCTTCTTGGCTCCAGATTCTCCTTCACAGTCAACATCCCTGACGGAAGCATCTGCCTCCCAGCTGCTCTTCATCTTCATCTGGCTTTTGCAGTCCCACCCCCAACCTTTCCCACTGAGAAAGTGGGGGGGAAAAATCTTTTCCACCCCATGGAAACATGATCCGCACCCCTCAGATATAATGGCTTCTTCCCAGACTCTGAGTCCTTCCACTAGCCTGCAAAAGTGAAAGTCGCTCAGTTGCGTCTGACTCTTTGCAACCCCATGGACTGTACAGTTCATGGAATTCTCCAGGCCAGAATATTGGAGTTGGTAAGCTTTCCCCTTCTCCAGGGGATCTTCCCAATCCAGGGATCAAACCCAGGTCTCCCATATTGCAGGAGATTCTTTACCAGCTGAGCCACAAGGGGAGCCCTTTGAATGCCTTGGGCTTAGTCAATGAGGTGGCTTGTTCCTGAAATTCTCTTTGTCCTCAGAGTCTGGCCTACCCTCCAGATTCACTTGGCCTTTCCCTCTCTGTCTCTTATCATCTAACCCTCTTCCTCCTGACTCCTAAACACCTTATCCTCGGCATCCTCTCAAACTTCTATTTCTTTTGTTCTCCCCTCTTCCGTTTTCCATCCTCTCTTCCCAACCAAAGGCTTTATTTAATGTGTGTACAAGATTCCCCATTCATGTCCCCATACTTTCCTATCAAGCTCCAGTGTGCGGTTGGCCAGCTGTGAGGCAGTCTCCTGGGAACGGAGGTTGGAGCTGGGGAGGGGTAATGATGATGGTTGCTCAACTCAGAGTGAGATCCTTGACCACATCAGACAGGTGAGGTAAGCAAGGGAGGATAACCATCCCCCTTTACTGGAAGAAACTGAGACTCTAAGAGGGTGAGAAAAGCTTCTGTGGTCACTCACCCATAATGGAGAGGGTCCTAGAACCCAGGACTTCAGACTTCAGAGTTCTTTCCCTTCACACCATGCACTGGAAATCAACACACACATCATATTCATTAAACCAGAGATTCTCTACCAGAGCTGTGTAACAGAATCATCAAGGATGCTCTTAAAAGCAGAGATGGTTAGATTCTGCCTCAAACTTAGTGGGTTAGAATCTTCTGGGAAGGTTTCTGCTTGATTTGTATTTTGAAGTAATTACAGACTCACAGGAAAGTACACAGAAGTACCCAAGGAGGTCCCATGCCCCTTTCACTCAGCCTCCCCCAACGTTAACATCTTACACAACTATAGTATGATATCAAAATGAGAACACTGACATTACCAAAATCACAAAGCTTCTCCAGGTCTTTTCAGTAATATGTGCACTCATCTGGGTATGTGTTTGTAGTACTGTGCAATTTTGTCAAGTGTAGCCTTGTGTAATCATCACCAAGTCAAGGTATTTAACTATGCCATTAACTCAATACTTCCCAGAGCTTTGGGTTTAAAAGGCCCCATCTCTGATCTGATGAAGAACCCACCCACTCTTCCTCCTGCCCCCTATCCTGAGAATGACCACCATCCTCTAAGTCACCCTGGTTTGAGACCGAGTCATCATTTACCAGCCCTCCTTTGGCCTTCTCTCAGTCAAGAGATCCAACAGATGCTTCCTTTATAAAACCTCTCAGGCTCATATCTCGGCCTCAGTCCCCATAGCCAACACAACTCCAGGCCCCTTAATTTCTTGCTATATGGCTGCAATTATGATGTATATGGTTCCCTTCTTCAAGCTGTCTCTTTCCCCCAACCAATGATATAAACCACATCCAAAGCCCTTCATTGCCCAGTCCTGACTGTATTCTCTTACCAAAATATGGTTATCACCATTTAGAAAATTAAGTTCAAATCATTTAAATTCAAATATGAAACCCTCTATATGTGGCTCACTTTCCTTATCTAAATTTCTCAATCTCCATTTTCCCCTCTTTTCCACATGAATTAATGACAAAACAGCATTCTTCAGGCCACAATAAAGCTTTTACCATGGGGATGAAATGAAAGACTCCAAGATTTCCTTCTTCTTGATGCTTTGTTCTCTGTTTTGTGATGAGAGGAGGTGGGGTGGGATGGAGCCTAGGGATGCCTTTTACTTGGGGGTACCATCACCCTCGGAAGGACAGCTCTTCCACCCCTTGCCTCCTGGTAATGTAAGAGGCCAGGAGGACAGCTGGCCTTGCTGGAGCAAGATAGGGTTCACGAGCAGGCTAGTCACAAAACTGTAGTGTTAGCCACTGGGGAATGGGAGCTTTCTCAGCATCCACTCCTTGGACCCAGGCACGTAGCTGTATAGGTAGGTCTCCCTACTTGAGGTCACCCTCACAATAGGCCATCACCTTTAAAATTCCTCTGCCTATTTGCTGCATCCTAGGTGCCTTTTCCTTCCTTCACATCCATGGAACAATGAGAGTCACGTGATTCATAAGCACGGCCCTTCAGAAGGCTCTAAAATTCCCTTCTTACTACACTACACTACACTTCTTACTACACGATAATAAAATGAAACAGAGAATTTGCTTATAGAGATTAAAAATATTTCAATTACCTGATATGTTTCAGCTTTAATTGATAACAAAATACAAATTTCTCATCTGAACTTCTCATTACAGCAATGGATTTACTGGGAAATTTACTACCTGACATCAGAGAATATGCTAAAGATAACATAAGTCCAATGACTGTGCTCCTGTGACCAGGTTGTATTATCTGCAGCACATTCATATTAAAGCTCCTATCAGGAGAACTGGTTCTCAAACTGTCTCAGTGCATGGTCTCTAAGTTTGGAAAATATTATTAAGGAGATGGTATATATGGGAAGAATTGGAAGTCATGGAATATGTACCAAGGGAAAGAGGTACCTGGTAGTAGCTGGAGAAAGGGAGAAAAGCTATGAGGGCTTCAACAAGGGATTGCAGGTCGCCTGGGGCTTTGCTCAGGTCAGATGGAATGTGGAGCAGGGGATGCAGAAAAGAAGATAGACTTTCAACAGCTGTGTTGCTGTCATTACAGTATATATATCTTCTACCATGCTCACCATCAGCACCACTGTGACCACCACCAGTACCATCAACACTTCCACCATCACCACCACCACTGCCAGGACAACGTCAATGAAAAACCTAGGCAAAGGCCAAGGCACACAGCAAAGTGGAATGATGCTTCACGGAAAAGAGTCACTGGAAAGGCTCACTGTGAATGTGGAGGGGGTGGAGGTCATGGCTATTTATCTCATCATATTGCACTAGGATGTTGAGGGAGAGAGTTGACAGCCAGCGAGGAAAAGCTTGGGGAGACCAGGCCCCTCCAGAACGTGAAGAGGGCGCAACTGTGGACTGAACCTTCCAGAGTGGTAACCATCGTGAATCTCTCCTCTCGGAGGCAGCATCCCAGAGAAGGGAGAGCCGTGGAGAGCCTGTAGAAAATGAGAACCCTGCACGGAGGCTGAGACGCCCGCACAGGGCAGGGAGCTGGGCACTCACCGTTACTGCTGTTGTCATCCACCAGGATGATCTCCTTGAGCAGGTGCGGAGGTGTGCGCGCGATGGCCGAGTGGATGGCACGCAGCAGCACAGACAGCGCTTCATTGACAAAGATGAACACGATGCTCACCTCTGGGAGGCTGTCGGGGAATGAGAGGTTGCGGCACCTGGAAAGAAGAGAAGCCAGGCTCTGAGATCTGTCACCGACTCGGCGGGGGTCGCCCAAGGTGCTGGCCCGCCCATGTCTTGGCTCCAGCTTTGCTGGAAAGCTCAGGAGTCCACACTCTCCCCCGGGGTCTTCTCTTTGATATACTTAAGATAATCACAAAGGGTACAGCAGACAGGCCCTCAGTCACTGAAACCCATTTGCCCCACTACAGAGTCTGAATTTGTCAACAACTCTCCCAGATGAACAGTTGGATCACTAGACCCTAGTACAGGGCCTGGAACTCAGCAGGCTGTCACCAAATGTTTACTGGAAGAATGACACCGTATTTCTAAATCCAACAGGATGGGAAATGCAACCAAAAGAAAATCTTAGTTTTTCCAAAATGACAGCCAGTGCTTAAATGAGGCCAGACCTTAGATGACCTGCTTCAGGAGAAAAACATGTCTCCTTCCAGAGACTCCTCCTGCCAGAATCCACTCTGCCTCACTCCAGAAGGAACGCTGCCTAGAGCCTCTATTATAGCTCTTCCATCTTACGGATCCAGCCTCCAGAAACAGGTGGAAACCAGAGGCAGAGTCTCAACATGATAGAGGAATGGAAGGACAATTCAGACCTCACTTCACAGATGAAGATGCTAAGGCTCATAGCGGCTAGGTCCCCACCATGTGTCCACTGCCAAGATGAAACCTCAACTCTGGTCTTACTTCTACACCAGGGTTCTCCATTCAAGGAGAAGTGGTCAGGTGAGAGACTGCCCCTAACTGTCCCATTTCCTCCTTAGCTCCATTGAAACCAATTTGGAGGTTCACTTGGAGGTCTCTTAACCAAATGACATGAGGCAAAATCACAAAAGTCTGCATTCCACTCTCCAAAGGAGGGGAACATGAGACCGTAAAATTAGACCCCATCATGAGGCCAGACAATAAGGAATGTCATGGTTCCCAAGGGCATGTCAATTCCTTCTCCTGACTTTGTAGATGGGAAACCACTGCTGGTGCCCTTCTCTGGCTGACACTAAATACTGTTCCAGAGGGCACTGCGCTCCCATCTTCAGGACAGCTGAATGAAAGGAGAGAGCAGCAGTTGTAGCCCTGACCTCGGTCCTCGGCTCAGAGTGGAGGCTGCCTGCTCCCACCACTGGCCACTGAAGGTTCCAGGGGTTCAGGGTGACCATGTTGCACTGCTCCAAAGTGGGAGGTGCAGTCAGGTGAGCATAATAATGCAATAATGAGCATAATAGCACAGGGCTTCCACTCGTTGTGATCAAAGTGCTGCAGGATAGGGATGGGCCTGCTCTTCCTTAATGAGGAAGGCTGCAGGATAACCAGCGTTGAGCAGTTTTGGAGAAATCACAGTGGGGCCCCAGCCTGCTTAAGAGCAGATTAATAAACGAAAATCACTGTCTCTATGGTTACCAGAAATTTACAGAAACTTCTCTCATTCTATTTCCAGCTCTCCTTTTCTCTCACCAAAAAAAAAAAAAAAAAAAATGAGTGGGGGAAGGGAAAGAACCAAGCTTTTATCCAAATCTGCTTCATACTTAGGATGTGAGTAAAGCCACCCGGTATAACAGATTGGTATAGAATTCATTCATTCTTGCATTTAATGGAATCTGTTGAGTTTTTTCCATGAGGCAGGTACTGCATTAAGGGTTAAAACAGAACATGGACAAAGTGCCTGTCCTCAGGGAACTTATGCTCTGAAGTGGGAAACAGGCAAACATGGCAGCAAACAAATGATATAATTTCGTTCAAGTGCCGAAATGAAAGGGAATGTGGTGTCAGAGGGCAATGTGGTGCCCCGGCAGCTGTTTGGAAGGAGTGGTCAGGGGAGGGCTCTATGAGGGGGAGAGATTGTGTCACCTGGCACACCACAGGTGCAAAGGCCCGTGGGGTGGCGGGGACAGTGCTGTGACTAGAGAGGAGGTGATGGAGGGAGCCAGCTCAGGTAACTGCAGCGAAGGGAGGAAGAGATGAGGAGGATGAGGGAGAAAGGCTGAATGAAGGAGAAAGGCTGGGATGCCTCCTTAAGCTCATCAGACCCTTTCAAAAAACGTGATGTTGTTGTGAATAGTACTGTCACAACAGCAATTAAAAGGTGGTGGTTAACGTCAAATAATTCTTCTGGCCTTTCCTTAGGAATGGAAAATGATAGAAGTACTAACACAACCTACTTGCAAATTGCAGTTTTAAAAAACACTTTATATGGTCAGACTACTAGCACATGACCTTTATTTTTCTTTTTTGAAAGTGTAATGAACAGCTCCTAATAAGATCACTATATCAGTACAAGCTAACTGTCTTGCCCCACTAACTCCACCAGCCATGAGACTGACCCTAGTCTGTTCCTATATCTCCAGGGGTTGCCTCTGAGTTCTCAGAGCCTCAGCATCTAAAGCCTCAGGTTTTTCCCAAGTGTTTTTCAGAGTTAGGGGTTAACTGCCTTCCACTCCTCTCTTTTCCTTTTTAAAGCTCCACATAACCACTCCAAGTTGAACTTCTCCTGGTAACAGCCATGGCCATCCTGATGGGCTGGGCTGCCGTGTCTGGTATCCATCTCCTGGTGACCTTTCTCCAAGCAGAGCAGGAATGTTATGTTTGTTTTTCAAGCTAAACTCTACTGATCACTATTTTTACATGCAAGACTCTTTCAAACTCAGCTGTTATATGACAACCCTTTTGAACATAACAGAACACTTAGGAGAGTACATCACATTTGTGTGTGTTCATTTCTGTCTCCTCCCACTATAATGACCTTCCCTGAGAGCAGGGACTTTATTTTGCTACTGTGCTAGTTCCCAACCTTAAACCAGAGTCTGGCATATAGTAGGTTTTCGGTATTAAACCAACATGTTTATTTATTTTATCCGTGTATACCTCAGAGATGTTGCAGGTTTGAGTCCAGACCACTGCAATAAGGCAAATACTGCAATGTAGTGAGTTACATGAATTTTCTGGTTTCTCAGTGCATTTAAAGTTATGTTTCTATTACACGATAGTATATTGTGTGCAATAGCATTGTCTGAAAAAAACAATGTACATGACTTAATTTAAAAATGCTTTATGGATACAAAATGCTAACCATCACATGATAACACAACACTTCAACTTGTAGAAAATGCAGTATCTGTGAAGCACAATAACGTGAAATGCAGTGAGACAAGGTATGTCTGCATAAGGCCTGAATTTCACATGCATGCCACTGATCTCAGCTTGCTCCTTTTTGTATAAACCTCCTCCCGAGAAGGAGAGTCAAGTCTTCTCTCACCAGCAGGTCCTTCCTTCTGCTCTCCCTCACCGGGATTTTGGCCCCAATCGCTCATGTTCCATCTCCAGCAGCTCTCAGGTCCTCTGCACTATAATTAAGTGACCCACCCTGGCCAAATGTACTGAGCTCCTTAAATCCTTCCTCCCCCCCTTCTCTCCGGAGTGTCACTCAAGGCCCTCCCAGGATCAGCCGCAGTGATTTTTCTCCAGACTGCACAGCATCTAACCTAAACCTGGGTCTCTGAGAGTAGAGAGGTGAAGGGTGGGCAGGATAAGAAAGACGAGGTGGGCTAGTTTATAGGGAGAGAGCATTGTAGGGCAGAAGGGATGGATAAACCCACCCAGGCGCTGACCCAACTGTGCCCCGAATTGCTGTGTGATCCTGGGCAAGCCACTCCCCTGCTCTCCATGTCCTGTCACATGGAGGCAGGGACAGAGGAAGGCAGGGGAAATGATCGTTTTAGGTGTCTTCTCCATATCATTCAGGATCTTCTCTCTCATATGTGATGAACGGAAAACATCTCACTAAAGAAATAGTTTGCAAACTTCCTCTTCCTCCTAGCCAGTACCTGGCCATCACCAAATGCCACAAGACACATATATCCGATCACCACCGTAGTAATGACTAGGCAGTATGACCAAATCATCCAAGTCTGCCCAGGACTCTCCCAGTTTCAACCCTGAGAATCCCTAGCACACCAGGATGGTTGGCCATCCTATGACTAGACCACAACTTCTTGATGGCACGGATGTTTTTCATGACTGCACATGCTCTGCCTGGCACTGTTCTGGCCATCAGCAAACATTCATTCAGCCAGCATCTGCTGAATAAACTGAGGCTACTGTTTCAAAGCACTCAACACACATATAATGGACACACATACTCCTGGTTCCTATCTTCATCTCAACATTGAAGCAGAACTTACAGGGCTGAGGGGAGAGGCAAAAGGAGGGAGGAAGACCAGTATGTCAGACGAGATGTCCTCATACCTCCCGGTCCCACCCACCATCATTACTGCCGGACACTGAACTGAGGACAGGAGTCTGCCTGCAGCAGGGCATCCTGAGTCCTGCCAAAGGAACACACGTCCAAGAGCTGCTATGGAGGAGGGTTGTTCCAGATCAAGCCCAGCGCTTCTGCTCCAAAATCTGGCCACTTTACCCAACAACCAGCCCCAGCCTCTACCTGATGACTATGCCTCTCATATTCACATACCAGTGATCTTCCCCTGCCCCTGGGTCTGCCGGAGTCTGGCCAGCACAGCCTCTGCTCCCAGAGCCTGCCATCCCCACCTGCTCTGGTGTCTGCCTCTGTCTACCCCGTATCTGCTCACTTCTCCAGAAAAGGGCCAGGGTACGTGAGAGCTGGAGGAGCCGCCAGGATGTAACCGACCCTTCCCTATTTATAAGCCTTGAAAAGTCCTGACTGTTCCAGACTGGTCCCTCACTCATTTTGAGAAGAGGCACATTCTCCTGTAAAATTCAGCCATAAAAGTTCCCTTTGTACTTTTATTCTTGTTCAAAGTTAAGCCATTTTCCACTAAAGATAAAAACAAGGCATTTCTGAGCAGGGAGAACTGTGGCTGTCTAATAAGCCAGGATTGATGGTCCTGATAAAGTCGACTGCATCGATCCCTGCACAGAGGCGGTGCGGGGATGGGAGCCTCCCAGCAGAGCTCCCTGGACGGTTTTAAGCTGTTCATGAGGCAAGTTTATGTCGAGGGCTTTAGTG